TTTTTTGCTGGATACTTCTATTGCATTTATTTATGTAGATATAAAGAATTTTGGAATTTGCAATGATGTGCCCATTAAATTTAAAATGTAATTTTTGACCCTCAAAACTATATAAATATATATATATATATATATAATTGGAACTGCATTAAATTAACCAAACCAAAACAAAAGAAGTCTGGGCTCAAAAATTAAGAGCCAAAAATAAAAAAGGGCTCTTTACACATATAACAAAATTTAATATTAGAGTTTAAATATAGTAAAATTTTTTGAAATACTGTAACTGCAGTGGAATTTAAAATTATTAGTAATGATTTATATCATTATGTATAGAGATAAAAGTTCGAGTTGTTTTATAAGATATTTTAATTTTTTTTTAAAAAGATGGCGTTTGGACTGGGCCGATCTGGCCTGAATAAGTTTTCAGACACAAAACCTCGGCCATGCCTGACTCTAACCTCTAGGCCGGGTCTCAACCGACCCATTTGACTCAACCTAAATTTACAGCTCTAATTATGTAGTAGAAAATATGACGTTATTATAATAATAGCTATGATATTTTTGTTATTTTTATAATATTTTAACGTTTTTGCTCAATTTTAACTAAGGTATAAATTTTACACGTAATGTAGTTATCCCAATAAAAAATACAACCTCTGGCATTATAACTAGAACGTCATAGTTAAAGAGATTTGACTTCGGAAACCAATCTTTTGAAACGATTTTCTGTTTCTGCTTAGATGGTTTAAGAAATGGGTTTATTGCTGGTTGTAGACCACTCATCGGCATTGATGGTTGCTTTCTTAAAGGACCATTGAAAGGACAGCTTTTATCCATCGTGGCACTTAGATAATGGATTGTTCCCTTTCGCATTTGCAGTTGTAGAATATGAGTGTAAAGATAGTTGAGCATTTTTCATGGCTCACCTGCTGACTATGATTGGTATTTGGTAGAGTCGGTTTTCTTTCATGACTGACTGACAAAAGGGAATTTTGGGTGCACTTGATGAAATTGTTTGAAAATTGAGGTATGATGTGCGGTTTTGTGCAAGACAGATTTATAACAACTTCAAGCAGGAGTTCTCTCCAAAAGCTACACTTTTTTTTTAGCTGCATTAATCCAAGCATTGATCAAGATATGCTCTCAATGTAACGGTAAAAGTGTTGAAAATGGTATCTTAAAAACATGAGATGTTTATTATTTATTTAAATTTATTTATTATTTTTTATGCATATATTAATAAATATTTTATAAAAATTAATAAAAATTTCATAATTCTTTATGTGACCTTAAATATTAACCTTAAAAGATGAATATGTTACAAACAATTGCACTGAATCTTTTAAAAAAAGGTTAGAAAGCACAAGGGCCAAGCCTATTTTGACTTTTAGGAATACTTGAGGGGGAAATTAATGGGTAGAATTCAGAGAAGGTACCAAAAGGGCTTGACTTGGGAGGGTAAAGTTACTAATGAGTTAAGAAAATATGTCAGAAGACAACCAACAGGTCAGGTATATGCACTGTCAGTTTTGAGGTCGCGATGAGTATGAGGTGCCTGTGATGATGGGATTCACTACATTGTAGACCTATGCAAGAGGACATGTGTAAAGCTTGGCAAGTGAGTGGTCTTCCATGTAAACATGCTATGACAGCAATGAGAAATAAGAGAGCTTATCTAGAAGACTATGTTGCTTTTTATTTCTTAAAAGGAAACTTAAGTATCGTTAAATTCGTTGATTTGATGTGACTTTATGTGAGAATTTTTAATTATAATAGAAAAAATAAGAAGTGATTTTTTTATGAGAGTTTTTAACTGTAATAAAACTGAAATTGAAAATTCGAATCAGTAAAATGAATGAGACTTTAATTGATGTGTTATGGAGATATGATTCGTCCAATTCCTCATGAGTCTGAGTGGCCTGTTGTAAGGTATGATCTAGTAGGACCGCTGGAAGTTAAACGCAGGGTTGGAAGACCAAAAGGCTAGACGCAGAGAGCCGGATGAATCCAAAAGTTCGGGGTGTGCTAGTCAAAGTAGAGGCCGAGAGGCCGAGACGTGGATTAAGCAAGTGCAAGACTTGAAAGTAATATGGCCATAACACTCATACATGCGCTTCCATATCTTCACGGAGTGGACCTAATACCGTCTATTCTATTCTAGTCATCGTGGATGTCATGAAAGTATGTAGTTGGTTGTTCATGATCGCAAGGTAATTTTCTTCTCATTTATCTTCTCATTCAGTTTCTATGTTTGATAAATTTCTAGAATTGTCATGTTCATTGTAGATGAATTGATGTCGGACTAGTTTGATGGTGGTGACAACTCTAGCTGGATGGCGGCTTTTTTTTTTTTGTTTTTTGTTTTTGAGAATTCCCTTTGTTTGTTCAAACTTTGATAACCTAACCCTCATTCGATGGAGCTAATCAACCCTCCCTAAAAGTGGAGGTAGGACATCCAGTTAATGAATAGGATACAAGGAGGAATGGTTTCTCGGAAGCTCTTTCTTAATCTGATAGAAAGTGGTTCCTTACTCTCGAGTACATTTGTTTTGGACTGCCTAAATTTTGTCTTGATATTTTGTCTTATTTTAGACAATATAATTATTATGTTCATGTTGTGACTTCCTTTACAATATATAATGTTTCTAGATATGTTTTGAGTTATATTTGTTTTTATGTACGCTACTTTAGTGAATGGAGAGTATCTTTATCATTTTCAAATGTTACAGGTGTAAATTGTTCAATAACGTTGTCATCAAGAAGGAATTTATGATAAACAAAGAAACAATAAAATAAACATTTCTTTCATTCAAAAAAATCTTCATTAGAGTGAAAATTTAATGTTAAAATGTGTAAAAATCAATTAAACTCATTTGTTGGTGTTAAATAAGGGTAAAATCGACATTGTCAATATTATATATTGTTTAAAAACGTTTTCAGGTACATAGAGAGGCATTTCTGACATTAAAAAAAAAATAAGCAGCCAAAATTAACGGTTAACTGACAAAAAGGGTATTTGTGTAATTTTATTTAAAGTCAAAGGTGTTAACGTGATTAGTTTTAATTAAAAATGCATCACTGTTATTTTGACAAAACACAAAAGAGTGTCAATATTAATCTATAATTTATAAATAGAGCAGTACATGAGCAAATAAGGACCGATGCTAATAGGGTGCGTTTGGAATTGGTTCCAAAACGTTTTTGTTTTCTGTACGAAAATGAAAATGAAAACATTTTCATTTTTATTTTTGAATTATTTCTGAAAATGCGTTTGGTAGTTTTATTTAGAGATTGATTTCAGTTTTAAAAAAAACTGAAAATGCGTTTGGTTTCATTTTTGAAAACATGTAATAGGTATTTAATATATTAAATAAATAATAATTGAATCCTAAATAAAAACACTAATAATTAATAAAATAATTAATAAAATATGGAAATTACAATATATTAGCTTAAATTATTGTCGCCTATACGAATCCCACATTTGATTAGCTAGATGATCCCTAAAATCAACCATGTAATTACGTTGTTGCCGACCATCCATTTCAGATGTTTCTGCTTCTTGTGCATCCATACCATGTTGTTGTTCCTGTTGCCCTTCTTGTTCTTCCTCTCCCTCAATATCTTCTACGGGCAAATCGACCTCATATTGTCTAAATAGGGGATCATCTCGCGCGTGCATCTTAATTAAATTGTGGATCACACAACAAGCTATTGGTATACTATTTTGTCTTGGCATCCAATAATTTGTCATATGCTTAAGAATTTTAAACCTTGCTTTCAAGACCCCAAAGCACCTCTCTATGCAATTACACAGTGAGGAGTGATAATAATTGAATAACTCTTGTGGTCCCGTTGGTTGGCCACCGTTTCTAAACTGTTGAATATGGTACCTCTGACCACGAAATGGTGCCAAAAAGCCTTACGTGTTGCTGTAACCGGAATCCACAACGTAATATTTTGGTGGGAGTGGCGCCATGAATGGGTTATCTGGATTTCTTAAAATCTCAGTTAACACTCTGGAATCAGCAGCTGATCCTTCCCATCCGGTATTGACATAAGTGAATAGCATATCAAAACTACATGCCGCCATTGTATTTTGAGTACACGAATGTTTTCTTCCTCTGTAGACTGTCTGTTGATGTGCAGGTGGGACAACCATAAAGTGTGTACCGTCTATTACACCAATACAATCATATTAAAATACATAAGGTGTGAGTTACAATTAATTTAAAATTATTTGTCATATTAGTAGTATATGAGTAGAGTCAGATTGTACCTTAAACCATAGCCAGTACTTAGGGTTGTGTTGAATCTCTGGGGGGACAATGTTCATATTTGGTAGTTTTATAACATCAGGTGCTAACGCAGACAAAGCGGTAAGTATATTATCAAAATGCCGGTGTACTGTCTCTCTAGAATGACAAAATCTATCTTGTATCTCTCTATTGCGATCTGAGTGAGCAACCATTCTTAAGAACATCATTAGAGATTCTTCTGCCAAAATACTAGAAGAAGGCAGTAGGTTGCGGCCTCGAATTAACTGAACAATTACTTCGAACGTGTCTCGATGCATACGACACATTTCAAACAAATTTTTGGGATGTTCGTGTAATTGTTCTAAAACATATTCTCGTCATGTTAACGCAGAATTACGACGAGGTTGCCTAGTTCGCCTGTTTCCAATCGACATCAATAATTGGATATAATGTTGTGGTTGTTCATCATCATCTGATGACTGGAGAAAGTCAATAACTCTGACATCAATCTCACTATCTGAATCCATATTAACCTAAAAAATGAATAAGACTGGAACTAATCAAACATCCATATAACATTAACTAATTAAACGAAGAACGCCAATGTAATTCAATTCAACTAAAAACAAATGACAAAGTCTAACAAACACAAGTTGGAGAGGAAAATCTGTTTTACATGCTCAACAATACTTAAAAAAAAATATGTCCAAGAGGAAACAAATAAAGAAAACAACACAATAATCATTCCACTAGGCTTTGAATCCATGAAAGATGCCGATGAGGGGGCATTTTCACAAACATCCTCCTAAGGGAAATGTCAAGAGCCAACTGGTGCGTTGCCTTATTATATGCATTGTCCTCTAAATACGGCTCATACCCATTCAACAAATCCATACAGGCTTCAATAGTTGTAGTTGGATCCTCTTTCTGAGCCTCAACTAATGTCATAGTACGGGCTTGCCTATCAGCTAAAAATTGCTGAAACAAATCAATCTTTTGAACAGATGTCTTACTACGTAGGGTAGCACTCTTTGCCAAAGCCTCTATGGTCGTGTCAACTGCACTGATGTTCTTGCCCTTCTTCTTGGATCGAGTAGTAGGACACTGAGACCGTCTGTTTCTATTGTCTTCTGCACTCCGGACTTCATCCGAGTCTCCTGTACCCTCCTCCACCTCTTTCGGTATTGTGGCTGCCCTTTTCACCGCATTCAAAATATTGACGGCAGTATGTGCATTCATTGACCCCTGTCCAGTAGCAATAGTCCTAAAAAAAATCTGAAAAAGTTGTACAAAGTGCTGTAAACCCCTTTTCTTGAATTTCTTAGCCTCGGGATGTTTCCGACATTATAAAGAAAACAAGAGTAAATACTCATGTGCAATCCAAACACCAATTCAACTCTTTCATATAACATAAGATGTTAAGAACATCAAAACTTACCGCCACATATGAATCCCATACTTCTTTTTCAGCTGTGACAGTGTTAGTCTCAGAATCCCAACCAAATCCTGTTGTTTCAATTAATGCCTTAAACTCTCTCGTGCTACGTCTAACCCTATTCCACTTTGCTTTAAGCTGGTCTGCTGTGAAATGCTTACCAAACTTAATTGCTATTTCATTAGCAATTTTCATCCACGTTTTTCTGTCCAGAGTGGATGTTTGAATCCCAGTCTTTGACTCTTCGCATATCAGTTCTACATAAAAATCCTCAATTGTGGCCGACCATTTCGTATTATCGTCCTTATCACACATCTAAAACAACACTTTCATCATTAAAATAAATGTCAATTTGTAAAGTATATACACACACAGACCATTGGGGGTGATGGGGGCTGATTTTCAGCCCTCATCAGGGTTGATAATCAGCCCCCATTGGGGCTGATGGGGGCTGATTTTCAGCCCCCATTGGGGGCCTCCCAGGCCAGCCCCAAAGGGAGGCCCCCAGGGGGTTGATTCAGCCCCCATTGGGGTGGATGGGCGTTGATAATCAGCCCCCACGGGGGCTGATTTTCAGCCCCGATGGGGGTTGATGGGGGCTGATAATCAGCCCCCATTAGGGCGGATGGGGGCTGATTTTTAACCCCCATCAGGGCTGATAATCAGCCCCCATTGGCGCTGATGGGGGGCTGATTTTCAGCCCCCATTGGGGGCCTCCCAGGCCAGCCCCAAAGGGAGGCCCCCAGGGGTTGATTCAGCCCCAATGGGGACTGATAATCAGCCCCTATTGGGGCGGAGGGGGCTGATCATGAGGGCTGATTTTCAGCCCCCATCAGGGCTGACAATCAGCCCCCATGGGGGCTGATAATCAGTCCCCATTAGGGCGGATGGGGGCTGAAAATCAGCCCCCATCAGCCCCCATTGGGGCTGATAGGGGCTGATTTTCAGCCCCCATTGGGGGCCTCCCAGGCCAGCCCCAAAGGGAGGCCCCCAGGGGTTGATTCAGCCCCAATGGGGGCTTATAGTCAGCCCCCATTGGGGCGGATGGGGGCTGATAATCAGCCCCCATGAGGGCTGATTTTCAGCCCCCATCAGGGCTGACAATCAGCCCCTATAGGGGCTGATGAGGGCTGATTTTCAGCCCCCATCAGGGCTGACAATCAGCCCCCATCAGGGCTGATGGGGGCTGATAATCAGCCCCTATTGGGGCTGATGGGTGTTGATTTTCAGCCCCCATTAGGGGCCTCCTAGGCCAGCCCCAAAGGGAGGCCCCCAGGGGTTGATTCAGCCCCAACGGGGGCTGATAATCAGCCCCCATTGGGGCTGAATTTCAGCCCCCACTGGGGGCCTCCCAGGCCAGCCCCAAAGGGAGGCCCCCAGGGGCTGATCCAGCCCGAGCGGGGGGGCCTCCCAGGGGCTGATACAGCCCCAATGGGAGGCCCCCAAGGGCTGTATCAGCCCCAACGGGGGCCTCCAGGGGAAAAAGAAAAAAAAAATGGAAAAAAAACCAGATCAGATCAAGCATAGGATAGAAAACAAACACCAAATCAAACGGAAAACAGCAACCGATTTGGTTGAATAAGCAAATCAAACGGCGAGACAACCGGAAAAGAAAAATAAAAAAAATAAAAAAATAAATTACTCGACCAAATCGATCGGAAAAATCAAACACGTTCAAATATTTTTGGCTAGGGGCATACCTCGGTGAGAAAACAGAGAACGACGCAGATTGGGCAACAGGAGACCGGAGGAGCTCAGGCGAACGGAGGTGCTCCGGTGAGAAGCAAACGGCGTTACTCTTGGGCGAGAAAAACGCCGGGGCTCGGCCGGGAAGAAGATCTCGGCTGAAGAATGGAAGGGAAGGAGGAAGAAGAGCTCGGCTGAAGGGGAAGAAAAAATCGGAAGAAGCAGAAACGGGAGGATGATCGAGGAAGAAAGAAGAAGAAGAAACCGAAAATGAAAACAAGAAAACGAAAACGGCTTTTTTCCGTTTTCAAAATTCTGGAAAACGAAAAAGCCATTTTCGTTTTTGTTTTCTGACACAAATTTTGCCAAACACGTTTTTTATCTCCGTTTTTAATTTTTTGCATCGAAAAATGTGAGAAATGAAAATGGAAATGCTACCAAACAGGCCCTATATTTCGGGGGTTATTTACAAAATAAACCTAAGCTCTAATTTGTTATGTGAGAACATAATAAACTAATAAAATTTATAAAATGTCTGTTATCCGTTTTACCTTATTTCTTACACTTTTTCTTACGCATGTCTTCAAATATTAAGATACTAAGAAAAAAAAAATTATTGACCAAGTTTGGGAAATAATTTATGTGATTTACAATGTTTATATGAGTTAAATTTATAAGAGGTTTAGTCTCTTTTTAAAATAACTCAAATTTAGTTTCTAAGTTCAGTATTCTGCTGAAATTTAGATGGAAAATGCTAAATTTATTGTAGTTAAGTTATTAAAAAAGGCTGAATGCACTTTCCCATTATTTCCTGCAAAAGAGACACTAAAAGTCCAATATTTGATCATTAAAAATTAAAAAGCCATATGTTACCTGACCAAAAAGCATATCCAAGAGATAGTACCGTTACTTAACTAAAGCCTGCCCCTGTATTACAACAAAATATTACTTCATTAATTAGTATTCTGTATTTATATCCAATTTAATCAGTTCATCTAAACTCACATTAATATTATATATATATATATATATATTTAACTTAATTTACTTCGAATGATCAATAAAGTTATATACATATATATATATATATATATGCATATACATATCACTATTTATAATGGGCCACACCTAGGTACGTATTTGACATTAAAAACAAAAGATTTCAAGAAACAACAAAATTATACAAATTATCATATGATACAAATTATATTGGTGATACTGATAACATTATTGCTTATACCAGCAATCGTAATGGTGCGAGCAAAGATTGATTCCTCATCTTCTTCTACTACTACTACTACCCTTTCTCCAGCACTTTCTCTACTTTCATTAATCCTTCAAAAGCTTAAACAATACAAGGACTGTGTTAAAATAACGGGATCAAATTATCATGAAACTTGTGCTTTGGAATGCATTAAGAGGCTCTGCCCTAGAGACTTGAAAATCCCTGATTTGTTTGGACAATGCGCAGCTTACTGCGCCAGAAAATGTCTGCCTTGATGTCTACGGTTAACTCTTAAACCTATTTAGTACGAACTGTGTACTTTTTTTTTTGGATAATTCTTGATGAGTTATTTCTTTGAGAAAATTATAAGAAATAATTATTTTTTCATCATCTTATTATTTATGCCATTAAATATATTCTTGTAGAATATGACACGTATTATGGTAGAATATAAAAAAAATATCTCGACAAAATAAATATTTTAATAGAATATGAAAGATATCATCCCAAAATATTAATGGCATAAATGAAAAATTTTAAATTGATGATAGAAGAAAGATATTGTTATTTTTTCCCTGAAATTTTTGAAAATAACTGTAGAAGAAAGATTATTATAAAAGCAAATTATAATTTCTGATTTCATAGGAATATATATATATATATCCACAAATAATATTAAACAAACTTTTAGTAATATCTGTCTCCCATATGTATATGAGACGCGCATGGTGATTTTTTATTTGGACTAGTCAAATCGATTCTAATTTCTAACGTATTGTGAGGTTTTTGATTTTGTAGATGGCGACCAAAACATATACTCTACGTATGTTATATGGTATAGTCTACTGCAGCAACTAGGAGAATGCTCATTGATAATGTTTTCAGCAAACTTATAGTGTCTACAACATGATTTATTACTGAAAAAAAAAAAACGCTTTTAAAAAAAATCTCTTATTATTATTATTATTTTGGGGTGAGTGGGACTTCTCTGTTTAATTTCTTCAGCAAACAAGCTTGATGCCAATAAATTGAGTTAAAAAAGGAGGGAAATAAATTGTTCAATTTTATTTTGTTCTTGTTATATAATCTTTTAAGGCAAGGGAGTTTCTCTTGTAAGCATTGAAAAAATAAACTACCTAAAAAACCGTATTTTCAAACGTTAAATTTGTATTAAAAATTATTTATTTTATATATTTTTTTAATTTGATGTGATTTTTATCATGTTTAGAACAATAAAATGTCTTTACACACAAGTTGACGGACACAAAAATGGCCAAAGTCAGAACTAGGTGGTTGTATTCCATAAAACAAACACTTCTCATGAGGGAAGATTTTCCAGAGTCTGACTAAGAATAAAGTTATAATTTCGCACAAATATTGTTAAGTAGCCCATGATCGTTTAGAATAACTGGTCCCTTCTGAAAACTCGGCTATGTAAATTTAGACAAAATCAAGCATATGGTAGTCAGAGCTATCGTCATTTTCCTTTGTGTGGGGACAAATAAGCTTATAATCTTGGAGCAATTGAAATATGAGAGAAAGTCAATTAAATTGATGTACCAGTCCATACTATAGGTGTCCTTATAGTAGTGAAGAGAGATATTGAGCGTGTTTGTTTTCGTTTTTAAAAACGTTTTTCATGTTTTTTTAGGAGTAAAAAATGAATTTATTTTCTACTTTTTTCTCATATTTCTGAAAACGATAATAATTATATTTATTTAATATATTTAATATTATTATTTATTTAATATATTATTATTCCTTATAGTAGAGAGATATTGAGCGTGTTTGTTTTCGTTTTTAAAAACGTTTTTCATGTTTTTTTAGGAGTAAAAAATGAATTTATTTTCTACTTTTTTCTCATATTTCTGAAAACGATAATAATTATATTTATTTAATATATTTAATATTATTATTTATTTAATATATTATTATTTTAAATATTATTACATGTTTTTAAAAATTAAACCACCAAACACAATTTTAG